AGATTTTAGATGGATCCAAGTTTAAACATGAAATTTGTGTTTCATACACCTTATATATAGTCTGAAGGTAATTTTATACAGCATTTTTAGTGCACCTACTTTTTGACTGTAGCCCATCACACAAGGTCAGGTGTAGAATTTTCCACTTGGGGTATCATTGTCAATATTCAAAAAGTTTTGGGTTTTGATTCGGATCATCAAATTAGGGCTGCTTGGCCTGTATTAAGAAACTGTTAAAAGGTGTGGTAGCTCAAGCCTGCAATCTCAGCTACTTGGGAGGCTGAGATCAAGGATTGCTTTTCAAGGCCAGCCTGGATAAAAACTTCATGAGACTCCATCTTAACCAATGGCTGGGCATGGTAGTATGCACCTGACATCCCCACCAACAAAGAGGTTTGTGGAGTGGCTCAAGTGGTAAAAACACCTGCCTAGTAAGTGTGAGACCTTGAGTTCAAACTCCAGTACCAAAAAAATAACCAGGGCAAAAAGGGCTGGCAGAGTCGCTCAAGTGGTCGAGTGGCTGCCTAGCAACAAGGACCTGAGTTCAGGCCCCAGGCCAAAGTGTTTGTTTTGCTACTTTTTTGGCAGTACTGGGAGTTTGAACTCAGGACCTCACCCTTGTTGGGCAGGAGCTCTACCATTTAAGCCACTCCACCAGCCCTTTTTTTGGGGGGGCTTAGGTATTTTTGAAATAGGGTCTTACAAACTATTTGCACAGGGCTGGCTTCAAACTGTCATCCTCCTGATCTCTGCCTCTTGAGTAGCTAGGATTATAGATGTGAGCCACCAGCACCTAGCTTGTGTAGGACTATTTAGTTTTTATCACATTTGGTCAATCACAGCAGATCTAAAAAAAAAAAAAACAGCTGGGCATGGTGGTAAACACCTGTATCCCAGGAGGCAGAGGCAAGAGAATCTTGAGTTCAAGGCAAACCTGAGTAAAGTTAGGACTAGACTCTATCTCTAATACAAAAACATATGAACAAAAGGGTAGGGGTATGACTCATGTGGTAGAGCCCTTGAGCAGGAATCCCTGGGTTCAATCTCCAGAACCACAAAAGGAATAACAAAAAAAAGCTGGTAGAAACAAGGCAAAGACAATTTTGGCTTAAATCCTCCCCCCACCCCCAACTACTTTTCTTTTGGCGGTACTAGCACTGAACTCAGGGCTTCAAGCTTCCTAGGCAGACACTCTATCACTTAAGGCATGCCCCCCCACCCCCCGTCCTTTTTGCTTTACTTTTTAGATAGGATCTTGTTTTTGCCTGGACTGCAGTCATCTTATTTACACTTCCCCAGTAGCTGGGATGACAGGCACGTGCCATCACATCTAGCTACTGGTTAAGATAGGGTCTTGGTAACTTTTTGTTTGTTTGCTGTCCTTGAACAGCAATCCTCCCAATCTCAACCTCCTAAATAGTTGGGATTAAAGACATGAGTCATCACACTCCCATTATACCCTCTTAAAAACCAGCTTCTTTTACAATCCCTGTGATTTTTAGCAGTAGCACCCCAATTCTTGAGTCATTGCATCATCTGATTTTCTCCTTTTCTTCAGGTACCAGGAGTTTGGATTTATCTTCCCACTTTACCTCTGAAGAGGTCTGACCTTGGGCAAGATTTTTTTGTGTGTGTATGGTGCTAGGGATTGAACCCAGGGCCTTATATAGCAACAAGTGCTCTACCACTGCCCTTGGGCAAGATATTTAACCTTCCTTTATCTCTGTTTCCACATCTATAAAATGGGGGGGGGGAGAGGGAGGGGGCAGGGGGAGAAATGACTCACATTGTTTACACATTTGAATAAAAGAAAATAAATAAATAAAATGGAGGTGAATCATCCATTATAGCTATGAAGCTATAATTTTTGGGGGGTAGGTCTAGAGTTTGAACTCAGGGTTTCATGGATGCAAAGCAGGCACTTTCCAGTCCATTTTGGTCTGGTTAGTTTTGGAGATGGGGTCTCTTGAACTATTTGCCAGGGCTGACCTTGAACTGTGGTCCTCCCGATCTCAGCCTCCAGGGGTTAAACCACCAGTGCCCAGCAATAGCTACAATTTATAAGGTTAGTGGAGGGACTAAGTAAGTTAGTACATATTGACTACTTAAGATAGTTCCTTGACACAAAGTAAAACACATACACATAAACACAAAAATAGCAATCATCATCTCATTGTCTTTTACACATACAATTTATTGTTTTATATTTTTATTAGTCTTTTTGTTGTTCTTCATAAAACAAAAATTAAAGCCAGGTGTGATGATACATGCCTGTAGTCCAAGCTACTCAATGTTGAGGCAGGAGGATTGGTTGGGGTTACAAATTCAGATTAGGCTGGGCAACATAGACCTCAAAACAAGCACACAAAAACCCCAACAAACACTAGGTCACTTTTTACACCCCCTACCCCCCCAATCACATTCCTTTTTATTCCCTTACTCCTATCACTTCACAATATTGGAGGGATCCTGGACCAGCAGCTTCCTGGTCATAGCAGAGATGGGAAGTAGATCTCTGGTGGGCTAGTCCTGCAGTGTTCAACTTACTGTGAGGTCCAGTCTACAGTACTTCTCTTGCTCTTCCAATAATTTTATAAATTCATTTTCTGGTAAAATCTTTTTCTGCTCAAAAGAACTAAAGTAGTTTCTGTTATTTCCAAGCTTGGTTAGAGCTCACATAGTTGGTCATGAATGGTACAAATATTTTCTTTTAACTCTGTTTTTGATGATGTCCTACAGAGTAAATTTTATTTTACTTAGCTAAATCTGTAAGTTTTTTTTTTTTTTTTTTTTTTTTTGTGGAACTAGGGTTTGAACCCTGGGCCTCATGATTGCTAGGAAGGCAATCAACCACTTGAGCCACTCCACCAGTGCAGTATTTTTCTTTATGACTATTGCTTATTATAGCTTAAGGCCTTTTCACACTCAAGATTAGGAAAATATTTGGTTATATCTCATTCTACCTCTCTCTCTGTTTTTTTGGCAGCACTGGGATTTGAACTCTGGGCCTCAAGCTTGCTAGGCAGATGTTCTGCCACTTGAGCCATTCAATTTTTAATGTAGCTGTTTACTTAGATGACAGCTCCTCTCAAAATACTGATGCAAAATCTATGTATTTTTTTGAGACAGGGCTTCGCTATGTAGCAAGTGTGAGGCCTAAGACCAAATCACAGAACTGGCAAAAAAGAAACATGGGTTTCTTTATATAACATGGGAAAATGTGGATGTAAACAACTCTAGAGATAAAGAATTAGAGTCTCCTGGGCTGGTGGTGGTTGAGCACTGCCTAGCATGGTCAAGGCCCTGGGTTCAATCTCCAGCACCACAATCTCTCTCAGATATGTAATCTGTTACTAGGTTTATTTTCTGTATTAAACTCTCTTGTTTGTAACTACCAAACAGACCCAAGTTTCATACCCACTCTCTGGCTCTCTCTCAACTTGGTTTTATTGTTCATTATAGAGTATGTACCCTTTACAGAAAATTCTAGGGGGTGAAGGCTAGAAAAGGATAAAGATGCAGAAAACAAAAATGCTTATTCCTATTATTCAGCAGAAATCAGTACTAACCACTTCCAAGTAGTATGTGGTTGAGATTATATTACATAACATATAATTTCATAATTTAGTCACTTAAGACTGGATCACAAGCATTTGCCTGTGTTTTTTGGAAGTCTGTCACTGTGGAAAAGATTAGCAATCAGAAAGTCTAGATGAAGAGTGTAAGTATTCACTGTAGTCTTTCAGCTTTTCTGTAGTTTTAAAATTTCTCAAAATTAAGAAATTTCTGGGGGGAAGGAAACTAACCTCAAAGGAAAAGTAAGGAAATGATAACAAAACTCAGGATTCTGGTGAGGATGTAGAAGGGAGATGTGGAAAGATATTAAGGACAACATGAGTTTTACATTAATTACTAATGCATTTAATAAACTGAATGATGGATGAATGTTCATGTTAATATTATTCTTTGTGGTTGATACATGCTTTTGAACCTATGAAGCAGCTCACAGTAATAGATAAAATTGGATCACAATTCAGTGTGAGGCCAGTCCAGAGGCAAAATTAGTGAAAAAGCAAAAGGGTAGGGGCATGGCCCCAGTGGTAAAACAAGTGCTGCAAAGCACTGTATTCAACTTCCAGTACTGCAAGAAAAAAAAATTTTCCATAAATTACTTTTTGATGGTTGCTTCTAGTCTTTATTTAACTTATTAATCAAAACTTGCTTTACTAGCAGGGCTGGTGGCTTACACCTGCAATCCTAGCTACTCAGGAGGTAGAGATGGGAGGATTGTAGTTCAAGGCCAACCCTGGGCAAAAAGTTTGAGACCTCAACTCAAAGAAACAGTTGGGTGTGGTGATGGGTGCCTGTCATCCTGACATGGACAAAAAGTGAGACCCTATCTCAAAAATGACGAGCAAAAAGGGCTGGTAGGGTGGCTCAGGTACAGAGTGCTTACTTAGCAGTGTGAAGTCCTCAGTTCAAACCCCAGCACTGCCAAAAAAGAAAACAAACAAGAGTTTGTTTACTGAGTTCAAACCCCAGTTACCACTTACAATTATACAAACAAAAAACCAAAAACAACAACAGGATAGAATTGTGCTTATCACCTTTAGGGGTAGAGGCATGCATGGCTCAAGTGGTAAGAGTGCCTGCCTAGCAAGTGCAAGGCTCTGAGTTCAAATTCCAGTATTGCCTGATAATAATAATAAAATAATCATGATTTTCTTGATTTGTCTTTTTTTTAAACTGAGATATTCACATGCCATAGCTCTTGCTTGTTTAAAGTATACAGTTCAGGGTTGGCTGAGTGGCTCAAGTGGTAGGACACCTGCCTAGCAAGAATGAGGCTAAGCCAGGCACTGGTGGCTCATGCCTATAATCCTAGCTACTCAGGAGGCAGAGATCAGTAGGGTTGTGATGTGAAGCCACCCCAGGCAAATAGTTCTGGGAGAACCTACCTTGAAAAAATCCTTCACAGAAAAAAAAAAAAAAAAAAAAGTCTGGTGGCTCAAGATGTAGGCCCTGAGTTCAAACTCCAGTACTGCAAAAAAAAAAAAAAAAAAGTCATGTTATATATGTTCATCAATATCTTTATACCCTCATATTTTAAATTAGTTTTTAAACTGAAACCTCATGAATGTGTTCAAAAGTATATTTTACATCTATTTATCATACTTACTTGTTTTTACAGAACTAGAGATAAATTAACAATGATTACAGAAATCATACTACTTTTTATCTCATTTGGCTCCATTTGCTAATGTGTTCAATGAAGCTATTTAAATTTGTTTATGTAATACTTTCTCATTAACAATGAAGCCAACAATGGATTAACAAGGAAGCTAAAAATCTTCCGTATGTATACCTCCACAATTTCAAATGGCAGTACATAAATAAAAATGCATCTATAGAAATACACAGTATTGTTATTATTTTCTTTAAATACAAATAAATGACATCATAAATATTGTTTTGTGGCTTTTTTTCCACTTAACTCTATATTAAAGAACTTTACCACTTCCATGCATATAGATGTAACTCATTTTTCTTAGTTGCTATATATTTAGTTAGCCAATTCCTTACTATTGGAGGTTTAGGGTGTTTCCAAGTTTTTGCTTCATTGTTATAATGAACATCTTTGCACGTATCACCTTATGCACACTTGTAATGGTAAAAAGTGGAACTCTGTCAGAAAACTTGTAAGTTTAGAAATGTAATAGATACAGCTAAATTGGCCTTTGTCAGTTATGTAGCATAAATTATAGCTAATAATTATATAGGTGACCTTCAATTTTGATTTCCTTTAAAACCCTAGGACATCCCATTGACTCAGAAGTTATGTAGTATACAAAGAACACCAGACTCTATCTAGGTTCAAGTTTTGGTTCTGTGTTAATGACATTAAAAGCAACAAATCCAAACCTATATATTCATCACCATTACTTCAGAAAAAGATACCGAACATTTTTATAATTATAAAAGAAGTATATATACACTGAAAAATGTCAAATTGTACAGTAAGGATAAAAAAAGTCATTTTCTTGCTCTTTGTCTCTCTTAAATATTTTTAACATGAATGTGTAGGTGCATATATGTATTAAAATATACATATAAATATATGTATATACATATGATACATACATATACTCACGTATATGTATATGTTTAGTAATACATATGCATAACAATGTAACAAATAAGCACATATGTACATATACTTATTACATGTAAATATAGTAAAATAATTTACTCTACATAAAAATAAATATAATAAATATATAATCTCAAAATAAGGATAGACTTTTCCAGAAAAGGACAAGTGGCAACCTTAACTAGCCATTTGGGAACCAATGATTTAGATGACCTCTTATCACTAAGATTTCTTGGTTAGGTCTAGAGTATCTTGAGCATTTACGTGCATACCTTTCACTATTATGTCTAACTTACACATTTCAAAAGATAATTAGGTCAGAGACTTGAGGGTATTCATAACAAGAAAACAGACATACTCTGGTTTGTCGTCCCCCCTCTCCAGGAAAGGATTTATAACTTTCTATGGCCCCCAAAAGTTAGAAACTATTGTTTTAAGTAAGTTTCTTAATTTTTATTTATCTATTTATTTTTGCTGCACTGGGATTTGAACTCAGGGCTTACACCTTGAGCCACTCTGCCAGCCCTTTTTTTTTCCCCCCTTTATCTGCCAGCCCTTTTTTGTGATGATTTTTTTTTTTCGAAATAGGGTCTCACAAAGTATTTGCCTGGGCTGGCTTCGAACTGCAACCTTCCTGATCTCTGTTTCCTGTGTAGCTAGAATTATAGGCGTAAACCACTGGTGTCCGACCTTAATTTTGCTTTAAATAAGTAATATTGACTTGGGAGTCCCCACAATGTTTTTCCTAGGATTTTTGTTTTGTTTTTTGGAGGTCCATCTTATTTTGGGTATGCATTTGATAGCTGCATATCTGAGTTCCTTGTTCTTGCCTTAACAATCTTCTAATTAAAAAACAAAATTACTCTTCTCTACAGTTAGTTTATAAGAGATTTTAATCTTTGTTTTTAGTTTTCGAAATACAGAAAGACAGAAAAAGGCAGAGAGTAATGCCCACATTGAAATTGACAGGCTGGGAGACAAGCAGCTAGAGATAGTGAGACACACGGGCACAGATAAAAGACCCAAGGACAGAAGAATAGACAGGCAAAAGAAATATAGAGAAATGTGGAAACACAGAAGGAGAGACATAAGAATTGAAGAACTGAGTAGATAGAGAAGAAGGATGGCAGAAAAATAAGGCTGTCAGGGAAAAAAAAAAAAAAAAGAATGACTGACAGAGAGGCAGGCAAAATTACCAAAAGAAATGCAGATAAGCAAACAGAAAAGGCAAGAGAGAGAGAGAAAGCAAACAAAGGAAGAAAACAAGGTAAGAAAGAAGATGACAACATGTTTTATACAACATAGTGCCTTACAATTTATAAAGTGCTATTGTATACATATTACTGCAGGCAAACAGGGAGAATCCAGCAGACAGATGGGGTGATAGAAGGATACAGGCCAATCAGACAGAAGAGAGAGGAGGTGGCCAATCAGAAAGAGAGGCTAGAAATGGATACCAAGAAAGACAGACAAGAAGAAAGACAGAACCAAGAAAAGAGAAGTGAGAGAGGGAGAGAGAAAAAGGGGAGAAACACAGAGATAGAGGCTGAAACAGTTAAATTTCGGAACACAGGCAGAAAAATAAAACAAATGAAAGATCAGTGCATTGTGAAAAGAAATGGGAGAAACACAGAAGTAGAGGCTGAAACAGTTAAATTTAGGAACACAGGCAGAAAAATGAAACAAATGAGAGAACAGTGCATTGTATGGAAGAGTTTTATCATCTTTCTCAAAGAGACCTAATTAAAGGCTGAGTCTTTGTCTTCCCCAAAGTGTTGTATCTTTAAGGTGGAATAGGAGAAGGAACCAAAAGGAAGGATAAAAAAGGAAAAAAATGTGTTTTTTTGTTTTTTGCAGTACTGGGGCTTGAACTCAGGGCCTACACCTTGAGCCACTCCACCAGCGCTTTTTTGTGATGGGTTTTTTCAAGATAGAGTCTAATGAACTGTTTGCCTGGGCTGGCTTCAAACCACTATCCTCCTGAGTAGCTAGGATTACAGGCGTTAGCCACTGGTACCCAGCTAAAAAAGTTTTAATAAGGACTATAGCTTTTCACATAAGGAAGAAATACTTCATGGACAGGCCTCAGTCAACAACCTAAAAGGATCTAGGTTCATATGCCTTTAAAGAATTCATATAGAGCCAAACATGGTGATATATACCTATAATCTCAGCACTTGGGAGACTGAAGCAGGAGGACTGTTAATTTGAAGCCAGCCTGAGATACAGTTGCTCTCAAAAAGAAAAAAATAATACAGACTAAGTAGGAATGACAGAAAAGGCCTCTACTCTATGTACATGTAAATACACCTTATATACTATGTGTACTAAAGACTATGCCTCTATCTATATGGTAGTTTTCAGTGCTTTTTCATGTCTTTTCTCAATTAATACATAGTTCAGTGATGAAGACAGCAACAAGGATGTGCCATCATCCAGACAATTTACATGTGGAGTAGGAGATTAGGAAAGAGCAAGTTTTGCCTAAACACTCCTTCAGTACTGGTAGTAAAAGCATGCAACCAAGCAACCAGTTAATCAAAAAGACAAGTGCTATAAAGTAGAATCAGAGAGGCAAGAGGTGGCAAGCCTAGCAGAATTAGGAAGGAGTACTGACAGATGACAGAAGGAGCACCCAACACACCTGGGAGAGAAGTATTAAGGAATACGGCAAAAAATGAGTAGACTTATATATGTGTACATTTTTATCTGGGGTGGTACCCAAGAAATGAGAAATAATGGCTGCCTCTGTGGAGAGGAATTCCTAAACTGGGGGCTGGGGGGGGGGGGATAAATGTATTTCATAGTATACTTTTCATAGTACAGGTTTTGTACTTTAAAAAATTTTATGCCATGTATATGTCTATTCAAAAGTTAACTGGGAAAAAAAGCTAAAACAAAACAAGAAGAAAGAAAAGCAAGCAGAGATGTGGACAGCAAAAGCCTGCCAAGCAGACAGCAAAAAGGCAGGAAAATAGTGAGAGAGACTGGAAGAATGGCAAAAAGACTAAGGCAAGCAGACTGTCTATAGAAGCAGAAAGAGAGGAAGAAAAAGAGACAACTGAAATCAAGGCAAATGTGAGAGAAGGCAAGGTAGGGAATATGGTACAAAGGCAGATGAGACTTTGGGATAAGGAGATTACTAAGAGATCTGGGGAGAGAGACCATCCCCATAGATAGATGTTGGCAAAAAGGAAGCCAAGGGAAAACAAGCTGATATACAGAGTAAAAAGAAAAAGGCATTAAACAGCAATCAAGTAGGGTAGATAGGCAAGAAGGTAGATCTAAAGGAAAGCAAGGAAAAATGATGAGCAACAGAGATAAATAGGAGGAGGAAGAAGCAGAAGGGCAAGATAAGAGGCAAACCATTATGGGAAACTATGGCAGGCCCTGGAAGGTAGACAAATCAAGAGATGCAGGCTAAAAAAGTGATAGAGACAGGCAGGCGGAGAGACAGATGGCTAGAGAGAGAGAGAGTGGTGGGCAAACAGCCAGGGAAGCAGACAGACAACCAGAGAGAAAGAGGCTGCCAGCCAGTCAGGAGGAGCAGACTGTCAGGCAGGCAGACACCATAACAGGAGCAGGTAGAGAAGCAGGCAGAAACAAGGATAGAAGGAAGATAAATGAAGAGGTCAGTGAGGGAGAAAAGAAAAGAGCAGGAGCAAGTGCAGACAGGCAGAGAGGGAGGTGGACAAGAAGAGAGACTCAGGCAAATTCACAAATCCGTATTTTAACAACATGAGAGAGAAAATGACGAAAGTCTGCACAGGGCCACCTTTAGTCACCCACACCTGCAGATCATGGCACATGTGGTAGGCAGAGGCGCTCAGTAGCACAGAAGGAGAAGGCACAAGACAGAGAGACACTGTGATGCACATGATGTGCAGTGTGGTACACACGTACAGACACACACGTGGAGACACTCTTCCTAGACTTAGTACAATCCACAGACATTTGGGGAGTCAGGCACACATGATGAAGAGTTATGCTCAGAGACTGGAAGACAGAAGTAAACAGCAGGTAGAGACGAAAAGTCACTTAGAGGTGGTAACACCTTAGAGTCAAACACATAAAGATGTTTCAGTGGAAAATAAAGCACACATAGTATGCCTGGACAGAGAATAAGAGAAAGGACAGGAGAGCTAAACTGAACAGAGGAGGAAGTTCAATTCAGATAGGAGTAACATGGGAACAGGGACAAGAGAATTCCACAGGCCATGTTAAAAAAAAAGATGGAAAGCAATGTTCAGTAACGTACATTAGTGAAGCCTGGTGCTGGTGGCTCATGCCTGTAATCCTAGGTACTTGGGAGGCTGAGACTGGGAGGATCCCAGTTTGAGAACCCACCTCCAGAATAATGGACTGGAGCAAAATGGACTGAAGGTGTGGCTCAAACAGTAGGCAATGCCAAGTTCAAACCCTAGTCTCAAAAAAAAAGAAAAGGTACATTAGTATGTACGTGGTGGGGGGGCAGGTATTTAAACAACAATAAAGAACATTTTAGCACTTTTTTTTTTTTTTTTTTGGTGAGTCTAGGGCTTGAATTCAGGGCCTCAGGCTTTGCTAGGCAGGCGCTCTACCACATGAGCCACTCTGCCAACCCAACATTTAGCTTTGTAAACAAAAATTTGTATAGTATTCCCTTCTCACGAATACTTTCTGGTTGCTATCCATCTACTGTTCCCTCTTAGGGTGTTCCTGAACACTGCAGAAGCCGAGGGGCCAGCAATTACATTTAGGAGGTACAGAAATGACCCAGAAGAGAGATGATTCCACAAATCTGAGATGGGAAGCAAAGAAAAGGGCAAAGTGAGATCAAAAGAATGGGAGGAAACTAGAGTAAGAAAAGGGTGAGGAACAAAAAAGGGTGGAACTGAGCTACTGACCTTCCTTTGCTTCACTGGCAAGTTTTATTTTATGTCTAGACCTCTCTGATTTAAGTCTCTGCATGAGAAAGCTACTTTTGGACTCCTTTTCAACTGTGCATCTGATCTCTGGTACTACTTTAAGATAAACACTGGGGTACAGTTGGAAATCATGGGTCAGGCAGTTGGAAGGAAACATCCGAATGCAACCCCTACCTCTTTCTTTTCCTCACTCCCAGTTACTTTTCTCTTTCAGGGTACCTCAGTTTCTTCTACTTTATCAGTGCTGGAGATCATGGAGGAAGGGAAATACACTGAAAAAGAAGAGAGAATATTTATCCTAAAACTCTGTTCTGTTTACCCCAAATTAATTTTTCAAGTCAGATAAATTTTACATGCAAGCAACTGGGGGGAAGGGAGGGCGAGGGAAAAGGGAAGAGAGTGAAGATAGAATTTACAACAATTATAAATCACTGAAAAGGCTGGGCAAAGGAGAGAATCAAACATGGACTCCTTTGAAAAAAAAAAAACTCAATCATCGTATCTATTCATATCTCTCCCCCAAAAGTCACTAGCATTTCTGTCACTTTTTTTAAAGAAAGAAAAAAAAAATCCAGTATGCTTCTCAGTTAAAAGAAACGTACACAATTAAATGCGTTTTGACTTCAATGAGGTATGTAGAAACAGAATTATATATAAACATATATTTCATCTTTTTCCTTTTCAATGCCTGAAGGGGAAAAAAAAACCTTCACATCAAACCACTCCCTTCTGAAGTATTCAAAAAAAAAAAAAAAAAAAAAAGCTTTTCTTTAGAGAAGGGAGGTGGGGAGGCAGAGACTAGTAAAGAAAAGAAAAAAATTCAATCTAGTTGGACTAGTATCTAACTAGTTAACCTTTAACAATTTATGCTGATGTCAGACTGAGCATGAGTACTGATTAATGCCCCCCCAAATATTTTTTATGAGGGGGGAGTTAGTCACAGCAGCCATTTTTGTTTTATGCAGAAATCCTTCATGCCCCCCCAACACACACATACACACACACTTCAGTACACAAGGAAAATATCTATTAATCTGTGCACTAATCAGTTATGAAAAAAGGGAGAAATTTGTAGGTTTCTGGGTAGAGGCTGGGTGATGGGGGTGTAACAGGGAGGAGAATGGGGGGGTGAAAAATGAAATATTAAGCCAGCCATTTTGTTTTAAAAGGGGATTTCCCCCCCCTCTTTCTTTCTTTATGGAGGGGGTGGCGGTGCTGGAGGGGGGGTTGTTTTAAAAATAATTTCAAGGCGGCCATCTTAGTGCCTCAGCTCTGAGAAATATTTCTGAGCGCCCCCCTCAGAATTTAAATATATTTAAAGCAACGGAGAGGGGGGCAGAGAGAAGTAGAAAACTTTTATATATATATATATATATATGTATATGTATATATATATTTATATATATAATTTTTTTTAATCCCCCTTTCTTGTTCTCTTGGGAGGAAACAGAGAGGGAAAAAAAGTCTCTCCTCAAATTTTTCCAAGAACATTTTTGGGGGTGGTTGGGCCCCCTCCTCGGACGTCGGCCCCGAGGGTGGGGGTTCTGGAGGGGGGCGGCCCGGGGGTTTGGGGGGCTGGGGGAGGCGGTGAGGAGGAGGACGCCGCCGCCGAGGAGGAGGAGGAGGAGGAGGAGGAGGAGGAGGAGGAGGTGTGGTGGTAGCGGTGGGGGAGGCGGGCGGCGGTGGGTGGGGGGGGGGGGGGGCCAGAGCCACAGGATGGCTTCCCCTCTGAGGGACGAGGAGGAGGAGGAGGAGGAGATGGTGGTGTCGGAGGAGGAAGAAGAAGAGGAAGAAGAGGGCGACGAGGAGGAGGAGGAGGTGGAGGCGGCCGATGAGGACGATGAGGAGGACGACGACGAGGGACTACTCGGGCGCAGGCCGGGCCACGACCGGGGCCGCGACCGCCACAGCCCCCCCGGCTGCCACCTCTTCCCGCCGCCGCCGCCGCTGCCCCCGCCGCCGCCGCCGCCGCCGCCCCCGCCGCCAGGTAAGCGTCCGGCCCGAGTGGGAGCCGCGGACGCGCAGAGCCGGGCACCCACCGAACCGAGGCGAATACCGGGCGCCGTCTCGGGCCCGGCGGTCCGAGCGGTCCCGGCGGCGGCGCGGCGGCGGAGGGCTGCGGGGCCAGGCCTCCTCCCTCCCCCGCCGCACCCCTCCCCGCCGCCGCCGCCGCCGCCGCCGCCTGCCGCCGCCGCGGCCCGGGCTGGAGAGCGCTGGGCGCGAGCTGCGCGCGCGGACCGGGCCACTCGGTCGCGGCTTTCGGGGGAGGAGGAGGAGGAGATTTTTTTTTTTTTTTTTAACCCTCGGCGGGGAAGGGGCAGGCAGGAAACGGCCAAGGCGAAGCCAGGGCCCCCCTCCCTAGCGGCGCAACGGACCGCCGAGACCCTGGCTGCCGGACGGCGGCGTGGGGGGAGGGGCGCGTGGGGGAGGGGCGGTCGCGCGAGCGCCCCTGGGGTTCGGCCCCGGTGTGGGGTCGCCCCGAGACCGAGTGGGATTTCTGTGTGTGGAGCTGATCGTTGCCGCGACACCCTCCGCTACGGACTTGAGCAGGCAGAGGGGACGGTGTCCATCGGACTCCCCCTCCCATCTTAAGTGACTTCGGTGCCCGCCAACTTTGGGGCGTGCGGTGGCACGCGGAGGAGGGGTTGTGTGAATGTTTGTGGACAGCTGGTGACTAGGGCCAGGTGGTGGCCACACTTCACGCAGACCACTTCCTGGAGTAAGACTTGAGCCTCCCCCCACCTGGCAGTTGAGATTGCCAGTCACTTCAGATTGGGGGGCGACAGGGGAGTGTCTGGGGAGCCAGATGCCCCCCGTTCCGCCTCCTTCATCTCTCCTCTGCTCCCGGCTCTTTTGTGTCAAGTGTGGCCCCCTCCCCCGCTCATGACCCCGTCAGTCTGGTGTGGCCCAACTGCCCAGCTGTGACTCTCACGTGGCTGCCATTCACTGTCACTCTCGATGAAACCACCCACACCCTGACCACGTTGGGGGGCGTGAGCTGCCCACCCAGCTGCTCTGCGGCTTGACCATCACTCAGCACCCTCCCCCCGGTGGGACAAGTTAGCTGGCGCTCTGGACAGCACTAAGGTGGGGGGGACCGACCGCTGCCTGCCCGCGGACGCCCAGCAACGGACCCCCCTCAGACCATGGCCCTGGTGGGGGGATATCTCTGTCTTGATAGGTGAGCCCCTCGGTGTCTGCACTCCGTTTGGGGACATCCACACCCCCAAGGCCTGTGGCTGTGGAGCAGCACAAATGAACCCAACTTCAAAACGTCTACTATCAAGCTCTTTGTAAAGCTGTCATATCGATCCTAGTGGCTTCTGTGGCACATGTTCCTGTCTAGTGGAGACAGCCTTTGAGGAGGGAGTGGAGGTGCTTCCTCATAGGGGGACATGTGCTCAGGGGACACTGGGTGAAGTCTCCGCGTTCCTGCAGGCTTTTGTCTGAAAAAGGGAAAAGTTTTGAAAAAGTTATCGCAGAGAGCTGCAGATTTCGCACAAGGAAAAAGGAATGAAGGATGGTGGGGATAGGGCTGCCTGCAGTAAGGTGCTAAAAAGAGGGCAGGGGGCTGGCAAGTGAGGCTTGTGTATGGGGGGGGGAGGTTGGCAGTCCTCACCTGTCTGTATTCCGAACCTGGAATTGGGTTTGAGTGGGTTTTATCCCGCATCTGGGTGCGTGAGACAGGAGCGTGAAAGAACCTGGGGTTGAGGTGGGTCTTTGTGTCCTACTCCCCTCTGTCTTCCCTCTTTTGCTTTCTGAATTGACGAGAAGAGACGTCAATTTCTTTAAAAATTTTTATACTTAAAATGAAATCCCACCTCCCCTTTCTCCCTAGGCAATTTTCTCTCCCTTTCAGCCCTCCAAGTCAAATGAGTGACCCAGATACACCCCCTCAGATGACTTTCTGAGGGAAAACTTGGGGGAAAATATTTTTAGCTTGCTCATTAGCTCTGTCTACTGAGGTGTGGGGAAAAATAAGCCTCTGAGCTGTTCAGGCTGCCCTGCCTCCTCCTTTTCTACAATATGAATTTGCACATAGGAGAGCTTTCCATTGTTTTTCAGTCCGACTGCCTCGATCTCACCATTTTGTTCTACATTCTTACCCAAGACCAATTTTATCCCTTCCCCCTCGCTCCAGTCTCCTTACATTGTTAAACGTTTAAAATAATAGCACTCGCGTTGGTGGGGGAAGGGAACAGGAAGCCAAAAAAACTCATTTCTTCTCCCTCCCCCTTCTGGCAAGTCTAGAGAAATAATATAACATAATATATAGATGTGATTCCTTGGGGGTGGGGGTGGGGAATGATTGTGGGTGGTGCGGAAAATTCTGGTAGTTTCTTTGCAAAAGGTCTGAAAATACAAACCCACCCCCTGCGTGCAGTACGCATGTGCAGCAGACCTATTATGGAGGTTCGTTGTGGGGGAGGGAGGGGAATTTGAGAAAAAATAAATATATGTGTGAGAGATTGATGGTGAGATTAGAAGGAGAGAGGGGCGGGTTGGAGGCGAGACTCTCGCGCAGGCTCCTCCCGGCCGCGGGCTGCCAGGCTCCGCCTTCGCCCTCCCGCCTTCCCGAGATCTGAGCCGGGATCTGGGAGAGTCTGGGCTCCCGGCCAGCATTGAGTGGCTGCTGAGACAGAGGTTGGGACTTAGATTTGCTTTATTACCGTCTCTTGCCGCTCCTCGCCATTCTCCTTTGCCTCTGCCCGCCACCGATGTCGGCCTGAGTTCGGGAACCTCCTGCTGGGCGGCGGGAGTGGCGTTCCCGGGCTCTGTGGCCCCTACCCCCAGTTGGGGGCGACCCAAGCCACTTCCCTGATCCTTAGCCAATTGGCCTGCCCTTGCCACTGCCCTGGCAGCCTCTGTTTCCATGTTCGTGTTAACCCAAGTTCCTGGGGTTAAGGGGAGCCGGCTGCTGGGCATGGCATCTACGTGACTTCCTATTACAGCCCTGGCTCAGTTTTCACACCCACACACCATCCTAGACTGTCTTCCTGCCCTCGGGGAACCAGGATGCTGGGGTTAGGAGGAAAGATAGCATGGAAGGAAGGTGTTGGGAGTTTGAGGCAATGGAAACCCAGGCCTGCGGTGTTAATTGTGGCTCATTTTCCCTTGGCTGTCAGGGGAAGAAGGATTGTGTGTCCTAGAGCAAGGAGCTGGGCCAAGCCCAAGCTTTTCCCTTCTGCTGCAGCTACTTCTGCTTGAACAAGACAGGTCTGGCTGGTTAGTCTAGTGCTTGGGTGGGAGGTGAATCAGGGCCCTAAATCTGTGTGGCATCCTGCCTTTTTCTATGAGGAGTAACTGGTCCTCATGCCTCAACAGATTGGCAGGGGTTAGGGAAAATAGGGTTTGGGGACATCAGAGAAGAAACTGCTCTGGGTCTTCTGACAGAGTCATCGGGGGAGAGAGCCAGGGACCTAGCCATGCTGAAGCAGGTACAAGACAGGTCGTGCTCTGGATTTTTTGCTCCTGAGTGTGAGTGTGTGTGTGTGCGCACGTGCACGCGCGTGCATTTGAGAACACAGATACCTGATGTGTCTTCCTCTATTTTGTTTGGGTCTCTTGTACTGCTTGTATATATAGATGGGTCAAGATGTCTGGGACAAGATATACAGGTGTGAAGGGTGAGACCAGGGGATAAAGGATGCAGCCCCTGAGTTCTCAAAGGAAACAGGGATATGGGAATACATTTGGAGGAAGATTCCATGCTAATGAGGAGGAAGAGAAGTACCATTTAGGGAACTGTGGAGACTTCCTACTGTTAGGTTAGGATGTGATGGAGGAAGACACTGATCTTGTGGACAAGAAGTGAAAGTAACTGGTTGAGAATATCTTCCCTCCAGGATTGTGTTCGGGTGACAGGACGCTGGTGGTTATCCAAGGAAATGTAAATAGAGGCCTCCCTCTTGGCAAAAAAGGATGTCAAGGCTCCAGGGTGTTAGTGTGAGAACCCAGGTGTCCACCTTTGGCTCTCCCATCTCAGCATCTGGCTTTGGGAGCTGCCAGCTTGTGTCTCCCCACTCCAAGTGCTGGGGTCAGGCCAGGCCAGCAGCTGGGCATGGCTTCCCCAGTTCCTGGGCAGGTTGCCAGCTGGCGAAGTGAGGGAGAAGGCAGGAGGAGCCCTGGCTGCTTCTGAAAGGACCTGCCACACTCAGAGCCTGTGGCCTTGAGCCTGGTCCCTTGTTAGTAGGAGGAGAGAGAAGGGAGTGGTTTGGCTACTCTTCCCTTCTGACCCCTGACCTCCCATTCAGAACCAGAGCATCCCAGAGTACTAGAAACACTGTTACATCCAGTGAAGGACAGCAGTTAGGAGGAGTTAATGCTAGGGTTCCTAGACAGTGGGATTGAGATGATTGGGATTAGGGTGGTCGAGGGGCCTCCAGTAGGTTTTCTGGTGCTCTCTTCTCTAAAGATAAGGCTGACATTCGGCTGCTGCCTTCAGCATTGGGTGTGAAGAAGAGAAAGCGAGGACCCAAGAAGCAAAAGGAAAACAAGCCAGGCAAACCTCGGAAACGCAAGAAGCTTGTAAGTGTCAAGAATTCCTAACTGGCAGGGCTCCGGTGGAGGATCAAGGTTCAAGCCAGCCTTAGGCAAATAGTTTACAAGACCCTATCTTGAAAAACCCATCACAAAAAAGGGCTGTCGGAGTGGCTCAAGGTGTAGGCCCTGAGTTCAAGCCCCAGTACCACCAAAAAAAAAAAAAAAAACCAACTGTATGGTAAGGCTCAGAACAGGAGACCCTACCCCAGAGACCTACCTTTTCCCTGGTCCTGATTACTTGGGTAGGGGGTGTCCTAAAGTCAGGGAGGCTTGATGCCCACTCCCCTCCACCCCCACTGCTCTGTATCTCATAGACCTGGGACCCTAACCTCACTCCCTGCAGCCTAGTGAGCAGCCCAACTGTCTATGTGACTTGCCCTAGCAGCCAAGGGAAGCAGTCAGAAGCACAGGCCTGGAGGAAGACTGCATGAATTCAGAGTCTAGAAAGTCCTTTGTCTTTCTGAGCAATTTATTTAGCTCTGTGCCTTAGTTTCCTTCTCTATAACAAGAGAATAAACAAATCAGTTACTGTCTGATGTTGTGAAGATGGAAAGAGATAGAATACATTACG